TTTTTTTTTTTTTTTTTTTCTTCTTCTTCTTTTTCTGCGTTCTTCTTCTTCTCCTTCTTCTTCTTCTTCTCCTTCTCCTTTTTCTTCCTTCTTCTTCCTTCTTCTTCCTTCTTCGTCTTCTTCTCCTTCTTCTTCGTCTTGTTGTTGTTGTTGTTGTTGTTGTTGGTGTTGTGCAGGTCGACAACGTGGAGCACGGCTATGGCGCCCAGGTGGTTGTGGTTCTGGTTGTTGTTGTGCTTGTTGCTGTTGTCGTCATTGTTGTGCAGGTCGACAGTGTGGATCACGGCTATGGCCCCCAGGTAAGTGACGCAGGTATGACCTACACCCCTCTTCTTCTTCTTCTTCTTCTTCTTCTTCTTGTCTTTCCTCTTCTTCTTCTTGTGGTTCGGGTTCTGGTTGTTGTTGTGGTTGTTGCTTTTGTTGTTCTTGTTGGTGTTGTGCAGGTTGACAGCGTGGAGCACGGCTATGGCGCCCAGGTGGTTATGGTTCTGGTTGTCATTGTTGTCGTTGTTGCTGTTGTTGTTGTTGTGCAGGTCGACAGCATGGAGCACGGCTATGGCGCGCAGGTGGTTGTTGTTGTGGTTGTTGCTGTTGTCGTTGTTGTTGTGCAGGTCGACAGCGGGGATCATGGCTATGGCGCCGAGGTAAGTGACCCAGGTATGGCCTCCGCCCCTCTTCTTCTTCTTCTTCTTCTTCTTCTTCTTGTGGTTGTGGTTGTGGTTGTTGTTGTGGTTATTGTTGTTGTTGTTCTTGTTGGTGTTGTGCAGGTCGACAGCGTGGAGCACGGCTATGGCGCCCACTTGGTTGCGGTTCTGGTTGCGGTTCTGGTTGTGGTTCTGGTTGTGGTTCTGGTAGTGGTTCTGGTAGTGGTTCTGGTTGTTGTTGTGGTTGTTGCTGTTGTTGTCTTTGTTGTGCAGGTCGACAGCGTGGATCACGGCTATGGCGCGCAGGTAATTGACGCAGGTATGGCCTCCGCCCCTCTTCTTCTTCTTCTTCTTCTTCTTCTTCTTCTTCTTCTGCCTTCTTCCTTCTTCTTTGTCTTCTTTTTCTTCTTCTTCTTGTTCTTCTTCTTCTGCTTCTCCTTCTTCTTCTTCTTCTTTCGACAGGGTGGATCACGGCTATGGCGCCCAGGTAAGTGACACAGGTATGGCCTCCGCCCCTCTTCTTCTTCTTTTTCTTCTTGTTCTTCTTGTGGTTGTGGTTCTGGTAATTGTTGTGGTAGTTGCTGTTGTTGTTGTTGTGCAGGTCGACAATGTGGAGCACAGCTATGGCGCCCCGGTGGTTGTGGTTGTGGTTCTGGTTGTTGTTGTGGTTGTTGTTGTTGTTGCTGTGGTTCTTGTGCAGGTCGACAGCATGGAGGACGACTATGGCGCCCAGGTAAGTATCGCTGACGCAGGTATGACTTTCGCCCCTCTTCCTCTTCTTCTTCTTCTTCTTCTTCTTCTTCTTCTTCTTCTTCTCCTTCTTCTTCTGGTTCTGGTTGTTGTTGTGGTTGTAGCTGTTGTTGTTCTTGTTGGTGTTGTGCAGGTCGATAGTGTAGTGCATGGCTATGGCGCCCAGGTCGTTGTGGTTCTGGTTGTTGTTGTGGTTGTTGCTGTTGTTGTTTTTGTTGTGCAGGTCGACAGTGTGGAGCACGACTATGGCGCCCAGGTAAGTGACGCAGGTATGGCCTCCGCCCCTCTTCTTCTGCTGCTTCTTCTTCTTCATCTTTTTTATGTTCTTCTTCTTCTTCTTCTTATGGTTCTGGTTCTGGTTGTTGTTGTGGTTGTTGCTGTTGTTGTTCTTGTTGGTGTTATGCAGGTCGACAGCGTGGAGCACGGCTATGGCGCCCAGGTGATTGTGGTTCTGGTTGTTGTTGTGGTTGTTGTTGTTGTTGTTGTTGTTGTTGTTGTTGTTGTTGTGCAGGTTGACAGCGTGGATCACGGCTATGGCGCCCAGGTAAGTGACGCAGGTATGTTCTCCGCCCCTCTTCTTCTTCTTCTTCTTCTTCTTCTTCTTCTGCCTTCTTCTTCTTCTTCCTTCTTCTTCCTTCTCCTTCTTCTTCTTCTTCTTCTTCTTCTTCTTCTTCTTGTGGTTGTGTAGAAGCACCCACCGCTGGATCTGTGATCCTAGCGGGAATTCTCTTAGAATTGGGAACTTGTGGTTTTTTAAGATTTTCTGGAGATGAATTCAATTTTGGAGTAGAAAATGTATAAGTGTTTGGTGAACCAAAAATGATTATGCCTAAACGAATAAAAAGGATATGCAATTGAAGGTCATATAGCCTCTTTCTTCTTCTTCTTCTTCTTCTTCTTCTTCTTCTTCTTCTTCTGCCTTCTTCTTCTTCTTCTTCTTCTTCTTCTTCTTCTTCTTCTTCTTCTTCTTCTTCTCCTTTCTCTTCCTTCTTTTTCCTTCTTCTTCCTTCTTCTTCTTCTTCTTCTTCTTCATCTTTGTCTTGTTGCTGTTGTTGTTGTTGTTGGTGTTGTGCAGGTCGACAGCGTGGAGCACGGCTATGGCGCTGTGGCATACTGCGTAGCCACACGGGCCCTGCAGGGCCCGTCCCGGACATTCAGCCTAAAAGCCTAAAACTTAGGGCTTACAGGCCCCGTTCATTTCAGCCTGGATGTTGAAAAACGAGGGCCTGCAGGCCCTACCCCGTTTTCAGCCTATTTCTGGGTCTTTTCAGACCCAGAGTTTTCAGCCTGAAACGGAGGGCCAGTTTCAGGCCCTCATTGTTTCGACCTGCCCCTAAGACTCAGGCATGAAAACAGGAGTGCGGAACATGCCAGAAATAGCCTGTTCCCCACGAGTTTGAGCAGGAGCTGCAGCTGCAACCCCTGCCTCCCTTCGGCAGGCTCAGGAGGCACACCCGTAGTACATAGGAAGTTCCCATGCACTTGACGGGTAGGCAGTTGGAGAGTAGGACGGTAGTCTTCAGATTTCGGCCGCAGCACTCAGGAGGAGCGCTGCAGTAGTCTTCAGCGCTAGGCAGTAGTAGTAGCGCTAGATGTAGTCATCAGCGCTGGGCACTAGTAGGAGGTAGAGCGTAGAGTTGGGAGAGGTACTCGCGGAGGCCAGTGGTACTTACCTGTGGCGCCATCGCTCCAGCTGCATCTTCGAGGTACCTGCATCAAGGCGCCAACTTCACAGGTTAATACTGGACAGAGAGAGAGAGAGAGAAAGTTCTTCTTCCTCTTCTTCTAAGTCCACCATCTCTTCTTCCTCTGTCACCACCTGACTTCTCAGTATCCGCGGACTACTACAGAGAGAGAGAGAGAGTTGTGACATGAGACTTGACGACATTGGATCCAGACTCGACATTGGGATTCAGACATGTTGAC